AGTCCAGAATGTATGTTGTGTGGTGAATCCCTGAGTGCGAAGGTCGGTACTCCAGGATGTGTGTTGTGTGGTGAATCCCTGAAAGTGAGAAGGTGGGTAGTCCAGGCTGTGTGTTGTGTGGTGAATCCCTGAGAGTGAGAAGGTGGGTAGCCCAGGCTGTGTGTTGTGTGGTGAATCCCTGAGAGTGAGAATGTGGGTAGCCCAGAATGTGTGTTGTGTGGTGAATCCCTGAAAATGAGAAGGTAGATACCCTCGGAAGAGTGTTGTGAGGTGAATCCCTGAGAGTGAGAAGGCAGATACCCTCGGAAGAGTGTTGTGTGGTGAATCCCCGAGAGTGAGAAGGTGGGTAGCCCAGGCTGTGTGTTGTGTGGTGAATCCCTGAGAGTGAGAAGGTGGATAGCCCAGGCTGTGTGTTGTGTGGTGAATCCCCGAGAGTGAGAAGGTGGGTAGCCCAGGCTGTGTGTTGTGTGGTGAATCCCTGAGAGTAAGAAGGTGGGTAGCCCAGGCTGTGTGTTGTGTGGTGAATCCCCGAGTGTGAGAAGGTGGGTAGCCCTGGCTGTGTGTTGTGTGGTGAATCCCCGAGTGTGAGAAGGTGGGTAGCCCAGGCTGTGTGTTGTGTGGTGAATCCCCGAGTGTGAGAAGGTGGGTAGCCCAGGCTGTGTGTTGTGTGGTGAATCCCCGAGTGTGAGAAGGTGGGTAGCCCAGGCTTGTGTTGTGTGGTGAATCCCTGAGTGTAAGAAGGTGGCAGCCTAGGCTGTGTGTTGTGTGGTGAATCCCCAAGTGTGAGAAGGTGGGTAGCCCAGGCTGTGTGTTGTGTGGTGAATCCCTGAGTGTGAGAAGGTGGGTAGCCCAGGCTTGTGTTGTGTGGTGAATCCCCGAGTGTGAGAAGGTGGGTGGGAGACTATGATAACCCTCAATAATAGCATGATACACATGTTTCTGGTTTTACTGCTTTAAGACAGGAACATAATCGGAGGACTGTGATTAAATACAGATTGCCCCTATAAAATGATATCATTTTGTTACAGAGTCAGTAATGCTATAACAACTAATCAGCCAATTCAATGATCAGACAATCACAATATTTGAATGGGAATTCATCATGACATATCAGTTTGATGAAGGAATTGTGTAATGAAGGGAACCGTTATCCTGGATGTGGTACATTAGTGCCCCTCTATTGCTTCAGGTCTTGTAACATTAAGCCTACATTTTACAACTCCGCCTTCCTCTACTCAAATCATTACCAGAGACAACCACTGTATAGTGGCCAATTTTTTTTACTTGTTTCCGTATCAAAATTCTTTGCGATTTTATTTTATGACATGTTGTTCCGTTTTAGGTTTTGCGAACACAATACTTCCACCATGACTAATTAATGCTTGGCAGCTCTCAAGTATCTTTATTGCTATTTAATAGAAACACTGGTTTCTAGGCTTAAAAAAATCTAGAAAATGTCTGTAAGACATAAAATCCCCCACCACCGAGTGAAATCAGTTTCAGTGATCTGTCAGTTGATAATTTTCTATATATAGGAAGGGTGGTCTTGACCCTGACCTTGGGTCCCTGAAACACAATGATGTCCAAAGTATGCTCATAATTGACTTTTTATATATAATGTTTGACCAAAATCTGTCAAACAATGAAGTTACTAGATGCTTATTGGGATGTGTTGGGATGGGATGATGGGATGGGATGGGATTGACACGAGCAACATAATACGATACGACATACTCTTTTACTTGCAGAATTGGTGAATTCAATTGAATTATTTGTGTCCTTGACTGTAGTATTATTGACCTTTACTGTATTACTGGTGACCTTTAATGTAGTATTGGTGACCTTTACTGTATTACTGGTGACCTTTACTGTAGTATTGTTGACCTTTACTGATACATTGATCACCTTTATTGTAGTACTGGTGACCTTAACTGCATTACTGGTGACCTTTATTTTAGTATTAGTGACCTTTATTTTAGTATTAGTGACCTTTACTGTAGTATTTGTGACCTTAACTGTAGTATTGGTGACCTTTACTGATACATTGATGACCTTTACTGTAGTATTATTGACTTTTACTGTATTACTGGTAACCTTTATTGTAGTACTGGTGACCTTTACTGTAGTATTGGTGACCTTTATTGTAGTATTGGTGACCTTTACTGTATTACTGGTGACATTTATTGTAGTACTGGTGACCTTTACTGTAGTATTGGTGACATTTACTGTATTACTGGTGACCTTTATTGTAGTACTGGTGACCTTTACTGTAGTATTGGTGACATTTACTGTAGTATTGGTGACCTTTATTTTAGTATTAGTGACCTTTATTTTAGTATTAGTGACCTTTATTTTAGCATTGGTGACCTTTACTGTATTACTGGTGACCTTTCTTGTAGTACTGGTGACCTTTACTGTAGTATTGGTGACCTTTATTGTAGTAATGGTGACCTTTACTGTATTACTGGTGACCTTTATTGTAGTATTGGTGACCTTTATTTTAGTATTGGTGACCTTTATTTTAGTATTAGTGACCTTTATTTTAGTATTAGTGACCTTTATTTTAGCATTGGTGACCTTTACTGTATTACTGGTGACCTTTCTTGTAGTACTGGTGACCTTTACTGTAGTATTGGTGACCTTTATTGTAGTATTGGTGACCTTTACTGTATTACTGGTGACCTTTATTGTAGTATTGGTGACCTTTATTTTAGTATTATTGGTGACCTTTATTTTAGTATCAGTGACCTTTATTTTATCATTGGTGACCTTTACTGTAGTATTGGTGACCTTTATTTTAGTATTGGTGACCTTTATTTTAGTATTAGTGACCTTTATTTTATCATTGGTGACCTTTACTGTAGTATTGGTGACATTTACTGTATTACTGGTGACCTTTATTGTAGTATTGGTGACCTTTATTTTAGTATTGGTGACCTTTATTTTAGTATTAGTGACCTTTATTTTATCATTGGTGACCTTTACTGTAGTATTGGTGACCTTTACTGTAGTATTGGTGACTTTTACTGTAGTATTGGTGACCTTTATTTTATCATTGGTGACCTTTATTTTAGTATTAGTGACCTTTATTTTATCATTGGTGACCTTTACTGTAGTATTGGTGACCTTTACTGTAGTATTGGTGACTTTTACTGTAGTATTGGTGACCTTTATTTTATCATTGGTGACCTTTATTTTAGTATTAGTGACCTTTATTTTATCATTGGTGACCTTTACTGTAGTATTGGTGACCTTTATTGTAGTAATGGTGACCTTCACTGTAGTATTTGTGTCCTTGACTGTAGTATTGTTGACCTGCGTTGTTATTTTGTAATAGTTATTAAATATTAAACATAAGAATATTTTGAAGGTAATATCAAACACTTTTGCTGTCCTAATCTAACACTGGCCATCCCATGATTTGTACTGGGAGGGTCCTGCCATGGCTAGCAGATTTTATGTTGTTTAGAGAAAATCTAGACCATGCCAGCTTGTCTGATAGAGCCAGGCCTGATAAGCCTGTCAGACCTGACAGGTTGTACTCTTATCTGTCTAATTATGCTGCTCCATTGTTTTAACTCTTGGTACAAAAATAAAATGTCTATAAAACTTCAGCCATAAAAGGTGCTAATCATCCTGAGAGTCCATTTCCTTCGTTCGCAGACTAAGTTGAGCTTCAGAAATGTTTGTGAAACCAAGGGCACTTCCTTTACACATTAACTTCCTGTACAGCTCTTTAACATCCCGTACAAACCAAGTATACACTTACGTAACTTCATTGTACAGACAAAGTGCACACTGTAGTAACTCACAGTGTAGACGAAGAATACAGTTTAGTAACTTCCTGAAGAGGACAAGCCTACATCACAGTAACTTCCTTATAGACTAAATGTACACTGTGTTAACTTACTGTATAGACTAAGTACACAATATATTAGCTTCCTGTATAGACTAAATGTACAGTTTAGTAACTTCCTGTATAGGACAACCCTACACCACAGTAACTTCCTGTATAGACTAAGTGTACACTGTAGTAACTTCCTAATGTACACTGTAAAGTGCACACTGTAGTAACTTTCTGTACAGACCAAGTGAACAGTATAGTAACTTCCTGTACCGACCAAGTGAACAGTATAGTAACTTCCTGTACAGACCAAGTGAACAGTATAGTAACTTCCTGTACAGACCAAGTAAACAGTATAGTAACTTTCTGTACAGACCAAGTGAACAGTATAGTAACTTCCTGTACAGACAAAGTGAACAGTATAGTAACTTCCTGTACAGACCAAGTGAACAGTATAGTAACTTCCTGTACAGACCAAGTAAACAGTATAGTAACTTCCTGTACAGACCAAGTGAACAGTATAGTAACTTCCTGTACAGACCAAGTGAACAGTATAGTAACTTCCTGTACAGACCAAGTGAACAGTAAAGTAACTTCCTGTATAGCTGTTATCCTTTTCTAAAGTTTAATTGGTTTATTGATACACACGGGTTAAAAAGAGATAAATTATATGCTATCTATTTATTAGCTGTCTTTGAAGTGTCTATCTGATGTGTTTTCTGCATGCCTGTTTGCTGTGTTGACAACACACACGCTAAATGTCCATCCATCAGTTTACAGGTATTTGATGATTTAGCACCCTCACACTGCATCAAATATTGATCCTCCTCATAGAAGCATCATTAAATGTCATTTATATCAGCAGTAGCTCCAGCCATAAGAGAAATAAGTTCATTACATACTCATTCAAGTCATTCATCAAACAGCATATGTATAATTTTATCATATAATATAATAGCATCTAACAGTTTGATATGTTCCACACTGTCTTTTAATAAATACTGCTATTGAGAAATAAAAATAATAAAAACACCCTTGATTATTTGTAGACTTTAAGTCTACGTTATCACTAACTTCTCTACAAATGTACAGGAAGCTATAGTGTATTCTCTCCCCTTACAAACCTAGCTTTTTGTCTCCCTGTGTTTGGACTTACCTTTTTTGGGACTTGATTACATGCAGTGTGAAACATCTCGACAACCTGGCTGTGGGTAGGAGCAGTTCTGATGAATACCTGTAACCTCTGTTTCCATAAAGAGACAATCTTAGGATGGTGGGTAGTGGCAAGTTCATATACTCTGGCCTGCTCCTTTACCAGACCTACATTGGCTAGAACATCCACCTAGTAACAATATAATGACCTTGACATTAATATTACCTAGTAAGAAAACAGCCTTGACATAAATATTGTCTAGTAATAAGACAATGACATTGACATTAATATCACCTGGGGACAAAACGAGAGTACTGACATTAACCACCTACTGACAAGACAACAACCTTGACATTGAAATTAACAAGTAAAAAGACAAGGACCTTGACATCAATACTCCCTAGTAACAAGAAAAAACTTTGATTTTAATGCTAAGTAAAAATGGCAAAAAGGTTTGGTAATTATAATGGTCCATATTCTTATTACCTTAAAAAATGAAGGCATTGCCACCAAATGTTTTATGACATGTCACACAATAATGGTGTACCGGCAATTAAATTCATCGAAAAGAAAGTTACAATAAGTAGGATGTCAGCCTTTCTGATGAGTCATGAAGACATGTTTGACCCTAGCATTGCTTTAGGACATGATTAGGGCATTCAACAGATTTGCTACTAAAACAAAACATTAGATTATTAACATGTCTTTATTGTTCATCTTGACCTACCCATTTCTCAAACATATCTGGTGTGACAGCTTTGTTCCCAACGGCCTCTTCAAAGACTGCTAGCAATTTGTGTATCCTCTGTAAAATACAAGGTGTCACAAAGGTATTTAACCGATTAATTATCCTTGTATACTTCTGTACAGTGTTCTGTAGGGGCCAGAAATACTTGTGTGTATAGTGTTCTGTAGGAGCCAGATATACTTATGTGTATAGTGTTCTGTAGGGGCCAGAAATACTTGTGTGTATAGTGTTCTGTAGGAGCCAGAAATACTTATGTGTATAGTGTTCTGTAGGGGCCAGAAATACTTATGTGTATAGTGTTCTGTAGGGGCCAGAAATACTTATGTGTATAGTGTTCTGTAGGAGCCAGAAATACTTATGTGTATAGTGTTCTGTAGGGGCCAGAAATACTTAGGGGCCAGAAATACTTGTGTGTATAGTGTTCTGTAGGAGCCAGAAATACTTGTGTGTACAGTGTTCTGTAGGGGCCAGAAATACTTATGTGTAGAGTGTTCTGTAGGAGCCAGAAATACTTGTGTGTATAGTGTTCTGTAGGAGCCAGAAATACTTGTGTGTATAGTGTTCTGTAGGAGCCAGAAATACTTGTGTGTATAGTGTTCTGTAGGAGCCAGAAATACTTATGTGTATAGTGTTCTGTAGGGGCCAGAAATACTTGTGTGTATAGTGTTCTGTAGGAGCCAGAAATACTTGTGTGTACAGTGTTCTGTAGGGGCCAGAAATACTTATGTGTAGAGTGTTCTGTAGGAGCCAGAAATACTTGTGTGTATAGTGTTCTGTAGGAGCCAGAAATACTTATGTGTATAGTGTCCTGTAGGGGCCAGAAATACTTGTGTGTATAGTGTTCTGTAGGAGTCAGAAATACTTGTGTGTATAGTGTTCTGTTTGAGCCAGAAATACTGGTGTTAAGAGTTCTGTAGGAGTCAGAAATACTTATATGTATAGTGTTCTGTAGGGGCCAGAAATACTTATGTGTAGAGTGCTCTCATACCCAACTCAGTGTGTCAGAGATTTTAAGGCTGTATAAGTATGGTGTTGTCTCATACACAATTCAGTATGTCAGAGATTTTAAAGCTGTGGTGTTGTCTCATACACAATTCAGTATGTCAGAGATTTTAAGGCTGTAGTGTTTTCTCATACACAACTCAGTATGTCAGAGATTTTAAGGCTGTGGTGTTGTTTCATACACAACTTAGCATGTCAGAGGTTTTAAGGCTGTGGTGTTGTCTCATACACAACTCAGTATATCAGAGATTTTAAGGCTGTATAAGTATAGTGTTTTCTCATACACAACTCAGTATGTCAGAGATTTTAAGGCTGTGGTGTTGTTTCATACACAACTTAGCATGTCAGAGGTTTTAAGGCTGTGGTGTTGTCTCCTACACATCTCTGTACATCAGAGATTTTAAGGCTGTATAAGTATGGTGTTTTCTCATACACAACTCAGTATGTCAGAGATTTTAAGGCTGTATAAGTATGGTGTTTTCTCATATACAACTCAGTATGTCAGAGATTTTAAGGCTGTGGTGTTGTCTCATACACAACTCAGTATATCAGAGATTTTAAGGCTGTATAAGTATGGTGTTTTCTCATACACAACTCAGTATGTCAGAGATTTTAAGGCTGTGGTGTTGTCTCCTACACATCTCTGTACATCAGAGATTTGAAAGCTGTATAAGAATGGTGTTGTCTCTTACACATCTCAGTATATCAGAGAAACTGCAGTGTATGGTCAGCACATTATAAGATAATAAAAGATGTAGTTTGTCCCTTTCACATTAATGATTAAATTTCCTATGAACAAGAAAAGGCTGTCTCTGAATTGACACAATGACAAGGGGCACCTTGCATTCCATGTAGGTCCATCCGGAGTCGGGGCGTAATGTGGACTGACCAAACACTAACACTTGTTGCTGGTAACTGATAGGCAAATAGGCCAACAGCACCTTGTCCCACTGTGTTTGTATTTCATTGCTGTGTGTAACTGTCAACATACAAGCTGATTTGGACACCAAAATGTCTTACAGTACACAAACATTTAAAGGGACAAGTCCAATAGGTCATACATGGTAGCAGGTACACAAGGGTCATTCCAGGATAAGCACATGGGGCATTGTTTATTGCTAGTGGAAGGTTTAATTTTTAAAAACATTCCAAATAGCTAGTGTTCTAAAACTCAAATCACCTTACCACTATTACAAATAAAACATGTTTTTGGACATTTTATGTTAAATCAAATTAGTACAATAGATAATATATGTATTTCTTTGATCAATTAACTTATTTGCCAATGTTGTCAATAGTTATCTTTGTTTAGTCCTGCTCTAGATATCAAACTCCGGACCTCTAGCTAAATTGTCTCCACCAACAAAGCTTAACACCGATGTAGTAAGACCTATCTTGTCAAGCAGTATCATTACCAAAACTACATGAACATTTTAGCATTTCCTTACAGAAGAGTCGACGTATCCCAACTTTCAAGCCAGAATAAAGTGTATCCCTCTAACTGACTATATAACAACACAAGTAAGGCCACTTGTTCTATTGGACAACAGTAACAAGAATTTTAAAAAATAACATGTCTAAATCTTGGGCAAAAAATAGGAATTTTTTCAAAAAAACAATATATGACCATCCATATGAAGTGTGAAGTGTGTTTTCAGATGAAAGTTAGGATAAACAAAAATTGGCCTCAGGGGTCTATCACAAAGAATGACCTGTGGTTATCTTTCCTTTTTCTTCTATTAACAGGCTGTCCAGCACTTCTTGACAAAAAATTAGGGCTAAATTTAGGGCTAAAATTACAAAATTTTAGGGCAAATATAAGGAATTTTGTTACTAGAATAGGGAGTATGAAAGCATTAAACTGACTTACCTTTGCAAATTTGACAAAATAGAAACTAATATACAATGCCTTAATTGCAGGAAAGGTGTCTTCCAGGGTTTCAGTGTCCCAGCTGCTGTTGGCTGTGACCTTAAGAATCACACCTCTGTCACTCAGTCACAACCAATAACAATCTGGGTACATAGATCCACTGGTCAACTGCCTTTCTTTGTCTACCCTTAATTAGAACTACAAACTACATTGAAATACATTTTAAGCATGAATTTAATGAAAACATTTTCAGTAAACTGTAAGAAATATAAAAAAGTAGGAACTGAAGTGAAATATTATGGCTTTTTTAGGAATTCCCTTTGAATTTTTCATTTTTTTTTTAGGAATTTTAACAAAACTGAAAAAAATTAGGATTTTTTAGGAATTTTAGGGACGCTGGACAGCCTGTATTGAATCACTAGCATGATGCTTTCTACTATATGCTAGTACTAATGTTATCAATACCTAGCACCCTGTATCAAGGACATGAAGACAGATTCCAGCCTTCGATATCTCAATCTAGGATGACAATGATACTTATCCTTTAAAAGGACACTTCACAAAGTCATGTGACCGTACATCCAGAGAATGAACTGGTTTTAAAGGCATAAACTGATCAGATTGACGGAAACACAATACATCAAGGGTCACCAGGGAACTACATCTGTCAGATGGTATAATAGGGATTTGACCACAACTACAGGTGAGAGAAAGCGGAGTCTGTCAGAGGTATCATGTGATCCGGTCCTGTATCTCTGTACGGCTGTCTGATGATACAATGGTTATATACAAGCCCTGATAGAAATCATTCAATTTGATAACTCTGGGAATGTGAGAAACTGTCAGTTGGGATTGTTGAGGACAATGGTGGGCTGATTTTCTGATCCAGGTCAATATGGCGGTCTGTCATTGGGGATTGATGGGAGGGGAAGTATGCACTTGTCCTCCACATGGTCCTTCAGACAATCGGCCCGTGTTTACGGAGCGCAGAGGCCGGGTATGGCTGGCCTCCCAGCCTAACTAGTACAATACACTTCACTCGCCCTATAACAACCTCAACTGACAATGGCCACCTCCCACTAAATAGAGAGTTCCTCGTCATTAAGTGGGAGAACTTTACATAATGTTAGAGGTGGGAAAACATCTATAATTCCTCAAGTGTAATGTACCTATTTCTATGGCAGTCCGGATAATACCACTTGATTGACAAATCAATGCTTACAATACCAGTCCGTTACCGGCCGAATCAACGCAATAATGGAAAAATAGCAAAGGAGAACTATATCAATACACTTCAATACAAACCCGTTCAGGAAGAGGTGTTTTCTTGGGCAATTTCATTTCAATCAGATCCAGACAAGCTTTCATGTAAAGGTCCCAGATCTCACCTGTAATGTAAAATAATCTGGTCAGATTGATAAAAAAAAACATACATCGCTTCAACAGCATAAAAGCTGAAAAATGATAGCGAAATATATCTATGACACAAATATTTTCAATACAAAATGAAATTAGAGCTGTAATGTATAAACTAGACATACATATGAGGAATACTTAAGGGTCGTCTGAGCTTTAAGTTTGATGTTGTCACTCTCAGGGGTTATCTTATTGTTTCTTGCCTTGAGTTTTGTTGCCATTGAGCTTGATGTAATTGTTTTATTTTTAACACTTATTTAATATCTACATCATACCAAACATCAGTTTTGAATGGTATCATGACAACGTGACACTGTCAAGTAGAGAGTTTTCTCTTATCCATCCTAATTTTGAGCTAGAAGCTTTGTTACAGCTTAAGAAAGTTCTGTTCGGTATGAGATACCTTGTGATGGAAAGGTATCGTTAAACTGGTTGCTTTTCAAGTGTTTGGTGGAAATATTTGTTTATAACGCTATGGTGCTATGGTGTTCACATGGAAACATCACAATTCTTGTTCAAGTAGGCACAGGATATTTTTCATATTCTGTAACTATCTAATTTATGAGGATGAAATAAAACTGAAGAAAACTAATAGATAATAAAAAAAATACCTTTTAAATAAATACACAAGGAAAGTAACATTCATGATCACATGAATTCCATGAAATACATTCCATGTGCTTTAGGTTTTTTGTAAAACCATGTAAACTTTTACCTGTGTAAAAACATTTCATTCTATTTCATTCTATTTCATCATATATATAATAAATCTGCCCACAGGAGTGAGTACAAGGCATTATTGGAAAAAAATCACTGTGGGCAACAACACTAAGACAGTGATCTGTCTACTGATAACTCGGACAGACAAGACGAGATAATTACAGGTTTCCATATCACCTGCTTTCCCAGTAATTACCAGTGATGGCTATCGATTCAACCCATTATTACTGACCAATGAAACTGACAAATTTGGATGACAATTGGTTGTGACGAGGGTCAAACACACCGTATGACCACTTATATTGATTTCACCCCATACATTGTTCTCCTGGTCAGCTCTCACTCTTGATTGTAGTGATGGTCATCTTCTGTTTAGAAATGCTAATTGCTTGGAAATGATTTCTAAGAAATGAAAGGGTACATGACTGTAAGCCATTATAAACCTGAAACACTGCTTGTGATTCCACAGCAGGACAGTATTTAAACTGCTAATGTCCGGTAAGTGTTCAGACTATAGAAATCACCACTATTTCTGTCACAGTCTTTACATGACCTTGTGTAACTAAGGGAGTGTTCAGACTATAAAAATCACCACTATTTCTGTCAGTCTTTACATGACCTTGTGTAACTAAGGGAGTGTTCAAACTATAGAAATCACCACTATTTCTACCACAGTCTTTACATGACCTTGTGTAACTAAGGGAGTGTTCAAACTATAGAAATCACCACTATTTCTGTCAGTCTTTACATGACCTTATGTAACTAAGGGCATGTTCAGACTATAGAAATCACCACTATTTCTGTCAGTCTTTACATGACCTTATGTAACTAAGGGCATGTTCAGACTATAGAAATCACCACTATTTCTGTCACAGTCTTTACATGACCTTATGTAACTAAGGGAGTGTTCAAACTATAGAAATCACCACTATTTCTGTCAGTCTTTACATGACCTTATGTAACTAAGGGAGTGTTCAGACTATAGAAATCACCACTATTTCTGTCACAGTCTTTACATGACCTTGTGTAATTAAGGGAGTGCTCAGACTGTAGAAATCACCACTATTTCTGTCAGTCTTTACATGACCTTATGTAATTAAGGGAGTGTTCAGACTATAGAAATCACCACTATTTCTGTCAGTCTTTACATGACCTTAAGTAACTAAGGGAGTGTTTAGACTATAGAAATCACCACTATTTCTGTCAGTCTTTACATGACCTTGTGTAACTAAGGGAGTGTTCAGACTGTAGAAATCACCACTATTTCTGTCATAGTCTTTGCATGTCCTTATGTTGCTAAATGAACTTCATACAAACTTTTTAAACTAGCAGTCCTAATTGCCTATTAGAATTCAAGTTTCAGAACTACTTTTTATTCCACAAACAACACTTCATCAAATCAAGATGCAAACAACATAATGTGAAGCGTATGTGACTGGTTATATGTAAAGGACACGTAAATCTGTATACTGCTGACGGAGCTGATAGAAACACAGTCTGCCAGTATGGACAAGAAGCTGTAAACTTCTTACATGACTCCTCTATGGACAAACAGATGGAAATGAACGCAATTTAAATGAAAATTGAATATAAGGATTGAAGTCTGATGAGCAATTATGTAAACTTTCCGTGGAATCAATAAGAATTTGAAGCAAGATTCTGGCATGACTAGATCTTGTGTTTGTGTGACCAGACATTCCCCTACAAGACAGCATCACATATAGTTTCATTATGCAAACTTGCCTCATGGCCAATATGCCAAAAGTGTGATTTGCATGACAGGATTCTTATTACAGTTTTCATCTAAGTGTTTGTGTGTGCCAGTAATTACTCTAGAAGGTTCATCAGACCTTTAGCTGTGTTTAATAGTCCACAGAACAAGCCAGCATCTCAAACTTATATACATTATTTCGTACTCAAAGTATCTCAAATCTGTATCATTAAGTGGTACCAAAATCTTGTAGTAGTACTTCAACAGTCTTTACTCTTTACAACAAATACATACTATACAAAGCATGTCTGTAACTCAAAGACAATAAATACATACTCATTAGTAAGCAACTAGTTACTTTTCCAATACTTTAGATTTCTCATAGATATAAACTGACAATATAGAAATGCTGTTGACTATACAAAATTGAAAAATATTTTCTTGTAATCGAAATAGAAGAAACTAACAATGCAGATAAAAAGTGGAAAATTATCTTAAAAATTGGTATCGCTTTTAACTGTCACTGATACTATTGGTCATTGATAATCCTAGTTACTTTCTCAGCCTCATGAAGTCTAACACTGGAGACTTGTGACAGTCACGTTTTATCATCTCTAAAAACCAAGAGGACAATAAAAAGCATAACCAAATTATTTATGAATGATGTGAAATTTTATACAGGAGAACAATTTGTTTTATTGCAAATGAAGAGTTGAGACTGTCAGATGTATATGTCAAATGATGGGGTATGAAAATTGTAAAGTACAAAAGAAAAAGTCGATACAATATCGCAGCAATCATAAATATAGTTCTATACATGCAAATTCAATAAAACTATAGAAGCATGCAAGAAGATCTCCCAACCAGCTTCTGCAGATGTAGTAAAACAAAACCGACCTGGTAACTGACGCTGGACATATAGTCCCTCTGAGAACAGCCTATCCTACACACTAACTGAGTAGGGGACGGCAGAGCTAGTCTGTCCTGACATGGCACACAGATACCATCACCTATAAAAATCTAAGTCCCAATCCCAGGGCTCACAGCATCATAAAACCACTTGGTTACAACCAAACTACAAAATGTTTTATACCATCAAATACACACAATGAGAAATATAAGTTTTGCTTTTAAAATGGAGGCCAGCTTGATTTCCATTGGGACAATTACAAGCTGGTGTAACTCTGTTTGCTAGAGAGATAGGGCTGGCCCTCAATAGGGCATTCAAAGCACCACACATAAACCAGTTCTTCTGAGACTGCTATCCATAACCATCACGGGAAATTTCCAATTTCTACACGACATTTTTATGCTGAAAACCTGTCGATGATCAGATTGTTACAAAAAATTAAACATCATCTTGTTGTTCGGATGTTAGGAAATAGTCATACCGTTAAATTGAAAGAGAAATTGAATTTCGTGATGCCATGAGAGTATAAAGTCTGACGGTAAAGAAGCCCTCCACACTATTTCACTGAGTCTGCAGCCCATCAACAAGATAGAATGTCTAGGTTGTTTATCAAGTCCGACAGTGAAAGATCATATGACACTATTAAAGGAACATGCATACAATGTCTAGATATCAGAAACCTGATGGACACAACACAGTGTTTCATTCTCCTTCTCTTTCAAAATGTGCAATTGTTTACAGTCAATAGCATAGCAAACAGGCCATTAAGTAGTACAGAATTACAGTTTTATCCTGATACGATCACTATCATGTGTCTTTGCTTTATCAAATTACTGTAACATATAATATTTTTCTCCATATAATTCAATTTGTATCTTATCAAACGATCATATTGAAATTCTTTTAAGGCTTAAGTTACTCCAGGGTTCAATGGGGGATGATTAAGTATATAACAAGGTTCACAAAACCATAGGTTCACAATACAGTTCCCATAATAAACACAGGGTTCACAACACAGTTTCCATAAACACAGGGTTCACAACACAGTTTCCATAAACACAGGGTCCATAACACAGTTCCCATAAACACAGGGTTCATAACACAGTTCACATAAACACAAGGTTCACAATACAGTTCCCATAAACACAGGGTTCATAACACAGTTCCCATAAACACAGGGTTCATAACACAGTTCCCATAAACACAGGGTCCATGATGACCATGGGTTTCCATAACATCGGTCAGGATTTGTGATGCAATAATTCATAAACAGAAAGCTACATCAAAGTCTCTTACGTCTATTCACTGTCTCAAGATTTCTATATAGATACATGTCATCGACAACGGCCAGGAAATCTTACACAAGGGGTTTCTAGGGAGATACAGGTAAAGATTTATGAGCAATTTTTATTGTCACACAGATTTTACTGGAAAATTCTCCATTTCCATGTGTCTGATATAAGTTAGAGGTGTTCAATACTCTTTGGTAGGTTAACATGTTATTTACTTGGTTCTCGTTTGGAGAGTGTGACATTTGGATTTCCTGAGATTAAGATGTTGGACTTCATAAATGAAGCAGATGACACTTTCACTTCCTGAACACCTGGTCTTATCTTATTTGTATTGTTTTT